CTCCTCGCCCGGCACCAGCGGGCCGCGGGCTGGGCACGCCTGGAGCCGGGGGCAAGCGCAGAGGGCCGAGCCCCGGCCTCCCCGCGCCGTGTGTCGTGTACATACCCGTTTGCTAGCGATGTCTGCAGGGAGGGCGAGCGGCTCCCACAGCCGGGGGCCAAGGGCGGCCGGCGCTGCGCTGCGCTCTCACTGCAAACTCCCCACGCACATGATCCAACCTGTGATCCAGACCTGCTGAAGCGAATAAAGCTCCTTAAACGGATGCGGCGTCGGCCTCTCTGTTCACAGCCCAGCCCCACGCGGGCGCTCCTAGGTGCCCCGGGCAGAGGCCCTGCACCTCGTCACCCAGCTGGGCAGGGGCGCGTGAAACGCCCGCAGCTGGGTGACGAGGGGCAGCTGCGCCCCTGCAAGGTCAGGAGGCTGGGCTGCAGCAGGCGAGCTGGAGGGCGCGGGAGCTGCCTGCACGGAGCGAGGCTGGAAGCGGGGGTGAGTATTTGCCTGGCACGTGCCCCCAGGAGGGTCCTGCCAGCCTGGGGCTGCTGGAAAGCGTAGCTGCAAATGAGATCCCTGCAGCTGGGGGTTTCCTCCCCAGCCCCATCCTCCCTGGGTTGGGGGCTCTGCCTTGGAGAGCAGCGCAATGAAGCCTGCCGGGTTTCCGCTCTCCCCCTGCTCGGCCCTATTGCCAGCCAGGCTTGGCCCTTGGAGCTGCTTGGCAGGGGAGCCTGCAGCCTTGGCGAGGGGCTCTGCCCTGCCCTGCCACCGCGCTGCCGGCGCCAGGGCAGCCCCGGGGCGCTCTCCTTCGTGGAGAGTCCATACCCGCTGCAGACGGACCCCTGAGCTTTCCAGCTCTGTGAAATGGGGCACCGCTGACTTCGGGGGAGCCGTCGAGGGCATGGGGAGGGTGGCAGGGCAAGTGGCTGAGCCTCGGAGCCGGCCTGTGAAATGGGGACCGCCGAACGCCCAGTGTCCCTGCCAGCCGGCTCCTCAGGTGGGAGCCAAAATGCACAAACCGGCCTCTCCAGCATCAAAGCCAAACCACCGAAGGGGCACAGGCGGGCAGGGAAGGGGGTGCAATGGAAGGGCCGGCTGGAAAAGGCATCTCTTTCCTTCCCCGCCCGCGCCAAGCGCAGCGGTCGAGGCCTAAGCAGTGCAGAGCCCTGCGAGATGTCAGCGGAGAAGGATGAGCCCCGGGGCTGGGAGCCTTGGATGGCGATGAGGCTCTCGTATCTCTTCCCCGATGGGGTCTCTCCCGGGCCTGCACCATGCTCCGGTGCCCCTCGTCAGAGGAGCTCGAGCTCACGGGGACCAAACGGGACGGAGGGGGCGAGTGCCGGGGCCTGGAGCCGGCTGTGCGGGGTGATGGCTGGGCAGCGCTACAGCAGCCGGCAGCCCTCGGGGAGTCCCGGCCGAGCTGGCGGCTGGTGCACGGCCCTAGGTGGGAGGCAGAGGAAGGGCTCTGTGCCTGTGTCTGGTGCTGGGCTCTCTCCTCTCAGCTCTGCTAGCTTCTCCCAGGGGCTCACGGTATTGCCTGGCCCCGGCCCCGGCCCCGGCCCCGGCCCCTGGAGCCGTGTTGCAGGGGTCGGGCTCAGGCACGCTATCCGCTCGCCCGGACCGATGCCTGCAGGCGATGGTGCCCCTGGCACCCCACCTTCACCGGGCACCTGGGAAGTGCCGGTGGTCCCGTGCGACCTGGACACCGGGAGGAGGGTCTTCCTTCCCGCTCTCCGGAGGGGCCTGCGTTTAGCTTCCAGCTGGGAAGAGACGTGCTGAGGAGGGGGCTTGGATCCGGACCAGGGGTGGGGCGAGACTGGGCCTGCTCTCAGCCCCCGGGGAGAGCGAGGCTGCTGCCAGAAGCTGCAGGCCAGCATTGCACCGGGGTCTCCAGCGTGCCCTTCCTCTTCCCTCCTTGGGCCCCGACGCCAGCACAGGCTCTCTGCCCCCTGCTCCAGCCCGGTCCCGTGCCCCGCGTCCTGGGGGGAAGTGGCGTCGCCGTCTCCAACGCCCCGGAGCACGCGCCCTGGCGGGCTCGGCCAGGAGTGAGGCAGGCCGGGCTCCTCCGGCCCGCTCGGGGCAGGATGTGGAGGCAGCCTGGATGCACCTGAAAGGTCGTGCTGGTGCCACCTGGGCCCGGGAAGGCAGAGGAGCGTTGCTCCCGATCGCCGCTGCCAGGCACGGGCAGCCGCCCATCGCGGGCCCTCCCCGGCGCTCCAGCCTCTGCCGGCGGCGAGGCCCCCGGCCGGCGGCGAGGCCCCTGGAGCTGGCGGCTCTGGGAGACGCTCGATCCGGGTGTTGCAGGCAAGGAGGATTAGCCGCTCCCCGTGGCCAGGAAGGAAACCCAAACCCCAGAGATGCCGTCGCGTGAGCCATCCCCGGGCCCATCCCCTCTGCCCTCGGCTCCGTGCCCTCATCCCTGGGGCCGGCTGCCGGCCAGGTTCCCGTCTCGGCGCCCTTCCTCTTTCTGGAGCCAAAAGAGCTGGTTTTGGGGCCGGGGAAGGCCCATGCTGGAGCGCAGGCACTTGGAGGAAGGACAACAAGCCCTGGGCAGCGCTTGGTAAACGGAGCAAGCTTAATATGCAAGTCACTGGCGCAGAATAAATAAGCCCCGTGAAAATGTCATTTCCACAGAGTCACTTTTCTGACCATTATCCCGCTTCAAACAAAAGCAATTTACTCTGCCTGTAATAAAGCCGCGGCGATAACGAAGCCGAGGAGAGGCGCGCCGCCGTGTTACGGAGACAGGCCGTCTCCCCATCGCTGCGGAGTATGGCACGCGCCGGCCGGAGACGGCCCGCGACGGAGCCGTCAAGCCGTCGCGTCGAGGACGAGAGCCATAGCCTGGGTGGGAGAAGCCGCGTGGGGGAAGTCAATGCCGGGGCGAGACCTGGGCGAGGGTGCAAACCCTCCCCGGGGGCAGCCGCTGCCCCAGCCGGGGACGTGACTCTTCCTTCCCGCACGCTTCGGCCGCACGGCCCCGGTGCTTGGGCCAGGACGCCGGCACTGCGCCCGATCGGCTGCACTCGGGGCCGTGCCAAACCCACCCGCGGGGCCAGCGGCCTCGCTTGCCTGGGGCGCTGGGTCTTCACCTGCGCGCCACAGCAAACCGTGCCGGAGGATGGAGGAAGCTGGAAAGAGCCCGCTGGCCGGCCGGCCCGTCGGAGGCAGGGGACGGAGCCAGGTTCCCAGCTCAGTTATTTATCAGCAGATTGAATGACTCCGTTAGGCTGCCCTTGAAAAGGGGATGTGGGGAGCTGGGGCTGGTGGGATGTGCCCCACGCCACCCTGGAGCTGGGGTGGCTCAGCCTGGGGCCTGGCGTGGCCCCTGCCCAGGGTTTCGAGGCGTAGATGGAGGGTTTGAGACCAAGGACGCCCAAGCCCAGCGCTCGCCCTGCCTTCCTCCCACAGGAAGAGCCGGCCCTGCACGGAGGACTCGGGCGGGCGCGGGAGGAGATGACGCCAAAACGGACACAAGCGTGTGGGAACGCAGCTGTGTCTGCTCAGGTTGCCTCTCCCTCCCTTCCCTTGCCCTGGCAAGGCTTCCTTCCTCGCCCCTCTGGCCGCTCGGCTTCCCTTTGCAAAGCTGGGCCCAGCTCTTGGCCCAGGACACCGGCGTCTGGGCCCCAACCCGCCCGAGCTTGCAAATGCAGCGTGCTGCACCCCCAGCCAAAGCCCTGCCCTTTGGCCGGGCCGGCCCAGCACTTTGCAGGGAAAGTCTCCCAAAGTCCCCTTGGAAAGTACCAAGAGCAGCTGAGCGTGGCCCTTTCCCGAGCCTCCCAGCCACCCCCGCCCCCAAACCTCCTCCCGGCCGTGCGCTGACAGTGGGCGCAGCGGTCAGGCCCCTCTGCGTGTGTCTTGGGCCCGTGATCAATGCTGACAAGGGCAGGGGAGTCCTTTCTCCCCTTGCCAGCCCTTGGCGAGGGAAGGGGCAGTGCAATGCGTAGAGCAAGCAGCCTACGGACACTAGCAGGCAGGAGCCAGCCTAAGCCAGAGGCAGATTCAGCCCGGGACAGGAGCAGATGCCAGAAATTGGGATGCTGCAGTTGGGGCTGAGGCTGGTCTTGCTTGGAGCAGGGGGTTGGACTGGATGTAACCTCCTGGGCTCCCTCCCACCCTCCTGGTCTGTAATTCGATGGAATTCGAACCCCTTTCCCTAAAAACAACGTTTCGGGCGGCTGTCGCGGAAGTGAGAGCAGCTCTATGTCTGGGGCAGGGACAAGGACACGGGCCGTGGTGCTCTGGGGTTTTGCCCCGAAGGGAGAGTGCCAAGCCGTGCAGCACGTGGCATCCTGCAGCCCGGCCCCGGCTCTGTAACTCGCCATAGCGCGCTCGCTCGCTCGTTCTGGGGCTGACGACGATCACGCGGATGAGGCTGCAAGCGTGACCCAGGAGGGCTAATTGCTGCCTGCGAGCCCATGTGTCAGCTCCTTTCAGGGAAAGGAGTTTTGGGAATCCAGCGTGGACCAGAGGCTCAGGGCAGCTTTGCCGACGCAACAAGTCTCTTGCTTTATTCAAACACCTGCTTCCCGTGCTGGGAGCCGAAGTCCTGCAGCACCGTGCTGGCCTCGAGTCAGTGCGACGGGCGGCCCGGGAAGCATGACACGGGGCAGAGGAGAGCGGATGCCTCTTGCTGCTCAGATCCCATCCCTGCAGCTCTTGCTCTCCCCTGCCAGGAGCAGAGCGCAGGATGCAGCCCGGGGCTGGGGGAGAACGTGCCTCTATCTTCTGAACGCAGGGCAGGGCGGTTGCCAGCTGCGCCCGTGTTGCCAGCCCAGTCTCTGAGCATCCATCCCGCCGCGCAGGCCGAGCCTACAACTACAAAGGATACCCGCAAACAAAGCCGAGACACGGGGCTGGGGTGGCAGCGCGCTATCTCCACGCAGGGGAGGGGAGGGCGGTGCCCTTTCTTTTAACGCCAAGCACCGGTACGAAGCACGGGCTGCCCGACGCCCAGGGGAGCTGGGCTGCTCTGAAGGTCGGTGCGGGGAGGGAACAATCCCAGGCACGGGAGCTCCTTTGCAGCACGGGGAGGGCAAAGGGCACAGGCCTGCTCACCTGCTGCGAGCAGGGGCGCAGGGCAGCACCGTTCTCTGGGCTGGGGCTGGGCAGGAGGGATATCCCACCAGGCCCCAGGCAGCAGCAGTGCATTAGGCACCTGTCAGCCACGGCCTTTCCTACACGTGAGCCTGTAGCACTGGAGAAGTGCGAGCCCAGCCAGGCCCAGGCCGCCCGCATCGGCTCCCCCTGGGACGGCCAGCGCGCCCCCAGGCCGGCAGGAATCTCCCAGCGAGTGTCCAGGGCTCCTGCAGCACCTCCCTTCCCTGCGATGCGTCGGTCAGGGAGGGGGTGGACCACGCGGCTCGGGGGCTCCCTGGGCCCTGGGCCAAAGCATCGCTCGCTCCCGCTGCTCCAGCTCGCCCAGCAGGTGCAGCACGTTGTCGGTGAGCTCGCCCCGGGGCCGGCCCATCCCGCTGAGCTCCACGGGCCGGAGGCTGGCGTGGGGAGGTGGGTATTGGCGCGGGCAGCAGACCCCGTTTAGCAGGAGCCAGGGGGCATCCGGGTCCACCCGCCTCAGGTGGAGGAAAACGCTTTGGAGAGAAAAGGAGAGCAGCGTGAGCAAGCGGCCTCGGGCTCGGGACCTGGCGCGACAGTCGAGCAGGGCAGGGGGAAGCGCTGAACCCAGAGGCCTGGGTGCTCGGGGAGTGAAAGGCTGACCCAGAGGAGGGACCAAGGCAGGAAGGCGTGCTGAGGTCCCGGTGGACGTGGTAGCACCGAGGCCTCTGTGCAAGCTGCCAGCCCGGCGGGGGAGGCAGCAAAACTAGGGACCCCGGGCAGACAGGTGAGGGCCTCGCTGCTGCTGGAGAGACACGGGCTAAAGCAGCCCGTCCTCCCACGGGCCGGCGCCGCTGGGTTTGAGATGCGGCCCCACGGGCGCGTCTGGGACTCGGGCTCTCCCAGCAAAACGCACCTGATCGGTCAGCTCGAGGCAGGCTGCACCGGTTCTGCTGGAGGGCAACAGCCCCTGCCTCCAAACACCCTGGCCCAGCTCGGAGCCCAGCTACCAGGAGCTGGCCCCACTGGCTGAGGGAACAAAGCAGCATCCCACATGGGCCCTTCGTTGGCTGCGCAACCCCGGGGTGCTCCAAACGCTGCCCCGATTCGGGGTCCTTCCCGGCAGCCTCTGCGCCTGTCCTGCTTCTTCCCGGGACAGGACTGGGTGGATTTTGTTTGAAAGAAAAGCAGCAACCTCCTGCCCTACTCCTGCTGCTTCCCCGAATGCCCCCCTGCCAGGGAAGGGTGGAGCGAAGCTCGGGGGGCGTCCTCTGGGTTCAGGATCTGAGCCTCTCGCACCCTTGGGAGTCTTGGAGCAGGAGGAGCCAAGCGCGCCGGGCCAAATGCTCACAAGACGGCGAAGGGGGCAGCGTGGTGCCGGGGCCACGGTTTGCACACGTGCTCCAGGACCCGACTCCTGCTGCAACCCGCAGGGAAATCCCCGCCCCGACCTCTGGGGTGCGACCCTGCAGACAGCTGGCCCTGACTGTCCGAGCAGGGCCGCCCTCGGCGGGCAACTTGGGGCCCGTGGCCACTGCTTGTTGCCAAGCCCGCGCAGGGGATTATCAAACCAAGCGAACGGGTAAGTAAACGTGGCTGAACGTTTGCACCGGGATCGGGATTAACAGAGCTGTTTTGCAGGAGGAGGGGGGTGTGAGAAGCAACCGTGACATCTGAACTCGGGACGCCTGTCCTGCCGCAGGGAGGCACAGAGAGAAGATGGGTCGTGGGGGAGATGACCAGTTGCCAAGGAGCCTGCGTGTCTCTTGGCGGCACTGGACGCGTCTCCCTGCCTCTACAGAGCAAACCCAAAGCGGCCGCCCCAAAAACGAAGCCAGCTCCCTGCGGGGAGCAGCCCCCAGGGTGGGGGTCCTGCTGCCCGAGACCCCGTGCTCTCGAGGGGCCACGAGAAGCAACAGGCAGCTCAGACAAGCGCAGAAGTGAGGGCCAGAAGCCCCCTCCCCTGCCCCCACACACACCTGCAACCTTTGCGCTTTTGCAAAACCATGCTGTTGTGCAACCCCCGCCCCCCATCTGCTCTGCAAGCTGCCAGAGGAGCTGCCTCTACTGTGGGCACCACGAGCCACCAGCTTGTCGCACACTACACATTACTAGGGGTGCAGCAGGGTCCCCACTAACCTAAGGATGAGCTGACGCCCACGGGTGCTCGCATGCATGCGTGGCCGGGGCGCTCGTGTCCCGCGGCTCCTCCGGCACGCACGTGCTTTTGCCAATCAGGCTTCCAACAAAGACGTCGCACTCCTCCCTCTCCCTGGCAGCCGCTCCGGAGAAAGCGCCTCTTGAGAGATTATCTCGTCCCTGGAGGACAGGAAGCACTCGGCAGCCTCTTGTCCCCATAATGGCCCAAGGCGAGTGATTATCTCCTGATAACCTGGAGTGCTGTGCCGCTGAAATAACAACTTGACTTTTACATTTTCAAACTTACTCCTTGGCAGTTCCTAAGCAACCTCTGTTTCCATGGCAAAGAATCCGGGGGATAATCCAGGGGTTTTTTTCCTTAAACTTAAATGTAATTTTATTGAATTTTGCTTTGTGCAGGTGGCCGTTTTAGTGCGCTCCAGCCCAGCCTGCCATTGACAGCTGTCAATAAGTATCCAATAAACTGCGGCAGCCAAACCAGGAGAGGCGTCTTTATTGCTGTGTAATCAACTCTGGTGCCTAAAAGGCCCCAAAATAGCTCCGGTTTGTGCCGGTCCTGCTATACAATTCGCTCCGCTGGCACCGAGCGGAGGGCGGCTATTCTGCTCGCCTTGCCCTGAAGCGCCGAGCGCAGCCACGGCAAACGCCGGCAAACGATGCGATCGGACGGCTGCTCTGTGGCCTGTCGCTTCCCTCTGTCGAACATCTCTAACCAGGCAAAAGGGCTCGTGGCGGACCTCGGCAAGGCCGGACGCAAGGGACACACACCTACCTGTCCTGCAAAACCCTGTGATGTTGAATGGGTTTTTTCCCTTCCAATTTGACCCCCACGTTCCTTCGTGAAGCGCTTGCACGCGCCGTGTCGTGTCAGACTCCTCTACAAGCCGCGCGCCCAGAAAGGTGGTTCTGGGGAACGGAGGCCGTTTCTGGATGCTGCGGCCCTCCCGTCCGTCTCTTTGGGGTTTGAACCGACGATGCCAGACGGATCTCGTGGGAAGTGAACGGGGATGTTAATGTTCACGTCGCTTGTCGTTTCCTCACACGAGACCCGGGTGGAGAGCAGCCTTTTCCTCTGAGATGTGTCCACTCTGAGGCGGTGTCTTCCTCCCCGAACACGTGTACTCCCCACCAGCCACAGCGGGGCCTGCCCCTTTCTACGTGGATTCGGTAACACGCAGCTCCAGCATGCACGGCCCCTTCCGGATCCCGATCCCGATCCCCAGACCGGGTCAATAACCCCTCACTTGAGTCTGACCAGGCGGGAGGCGCTTGAACCTCACACCGATGCCGTTTCCTTTCCCCCAGCCGAGCTGGCTCTCCTTCTTGGCCGCTGTCTATTGCTGCCTGCTGGGTGCTTCACTAAGCTGCACTCGCCAAACTCATTTAATCCCACGAGCTCATCTAATCAAACGGCCAGCTTCCACAAGTGGGATTAAAGAGCTTCCCAAAGGTGGCCCGGCGCTCCAGATGGACAGCCAAAACCTGGCTGTGTGCAGCTGTGGCAGCTTGGCCAGGGACACTTGGCCCTTCCTTCTCCCTCCCTGATCACAGAAACCTCCCCGTGGGCGCCGAAAAGCGCTCAGACAGGGCCCGCTCCACGGAGCGGTATGTGACCACGCCGGGTCCAACTCTGACCCTCGCTCTTGGCACGTTGGGCATCAAGTGGCGCAGTCAGGACCCAATCTGTAGATCGGCACCAGCTCCGAGCTGTGAAATGCCAGCGCTCGCTGCATCTAATCGGCGCAGGGACTCTCAGCCCCTCTTTACTGCGGATGGTTGTTGCGGCGGCGACACGTGTTCGAGCTGTCGCTCGCACTCCCACTACGCTTCGGGCTGCTGTGGTATTTCAATGATCTGTTCCTGTTCTCACTTTGGTCCAAAGCTTCAGGAAGTCTTTTGCCCACTGGGAGGATGATTTCCAGGCTCGTGCCCTGCTTCCACGCACAGGCGCTGCTGCAGGAGAGGCTGGCGCAGACAGCTGTGGTGGTTTTCAAGCAGGAAGAAGGACACTGCTTGTTATTTAAAAAGCAGCTCATGTGCTGAAACGGAAATCTTGCGTAGCGAGGAAGAGACTGTTCTGAGAGCAAGCTTGGACTCGCACAAGCTACAAACCCTTGCTGCCTGGGGCTCGCCTCTGCCCAACAGAGGCTAATACTTGGGGCATACGTAGCCACGACCCCCTCTGCACCCCAGAGGTGGAGAAACTGCAGCGTGTGTTATCCAGGGAAGCCGGGGGTCGAGGTCTGTGCGCTGGGGCGGCTGTGGAGCCCTAATGGGGCTCCACAGCCCCATTAGCACGCAGAGCTAAATCCTGGCATGGCTGAGCAGGACATTTGCGATGAGGGCTTGCCCCGTGGTCAGCTAGCCTACCAGGGGGTCTGGCCTAGACAGCCAGGAGTCTGGTGAATGACTCAAGCTGGTGGCTGGCTGGCAGGGGTGGTCTGAGATCCCGGAGGGCGATCTGGAAACTCCCCCTGGAAGTCGGCTCTGCCAGGAGGAAGGTGGCCTTTGGCCTCACTTTCTTCACCTCTGTGGTCCAGCGCACGTGCCCAGAGCTGTCTCTGGGGACTCGGCCCCTCGTCTCTCACCCAGGGCGCTCGCTGCTGTCTTACTTGCTGCTGGGCCGCCTGCAGAATGAGGCTCGGGACCCCCAATATGCTGGCGGAAGCCATCTGCCCCTGCCTGCCTTGTGCAAAGGAAAGGAGCTTGTGCTAACCGAAGGGTCACGAGCCCATGGCTGAGGAAGCCTCTGGAGAGAGAACGGTGGGAGCGGAGACGGAGAAGATGACAAATGCCACCCAGGTCAAACTGCGCCTCTGCCCCAGCTCAGACCGAAAGGGGAAGGCTCCTGTTTCCCCGAGCTCTGAGCCGCGTGGGCTCCTTTCACAGCTGAAGGGAATGCGATGGCATGGCACGCTCGCCATAACTCATCACAACCACAAGCTCGACGGCTTGACAGCAGGCGGCCAGGCCAGGCCAGGCCGTGCCGCAGCGCCTGTCAGCACGTCAGAGAGGCGAGTCTCCGTGCAGCAGAGCTGCCATGAGTTCAGCCCCTGCGTCTCAGCCCCATCTTCCCGCTCAGACAGCGAGCCGCGACTCCGTGCCAGCCCAGGCAGGCCCAGAGCGTGCGGTCGGCTCTCCCCGCTGAGCTGGGGAGGATGGGACCTGGCTTGCTCCTGTGCCCCACAGCAGGTTTGCAGATGGAGGAGGCAAATGCTGTCTCTGCAGGCCCCTCCTCTGGTTCCTACCCAGCAAAGACCACAGGCTTTTGCGGCCCTTGGCTCCGTGTGATGTGCGTCCCTGCTGGGATGCAATGCAAACCACTTGCATGGTGCACTGGAGCAGCCAGCACCCTTCAGACTATGTTCCAGATGTCGGTGGACAGAGTCCAACTGAGCCAGGTGAAAACAGGAGCAGGGGAGGGAGAGAAACAGTGGGTACCGGGAGTCCCTTAGCTAATGACTGCAGGTCAGAGAACTGGCTGACGGCCCCTGTTAGCACCTAGCAGCATGGCCGCTCTCCCTGGCTTGTCCCACGGAAAAGTGCCCAGTGTTGATACCTGAATGACTTGTCTCCCAGATGCACAGGAACTCAAAAAAACAACCACCCCGGCTGTAGGGGACAAAGGAGGGAGAGAGATGCCAGCAAGAGCCCCTGCCGTAGCGTACAGTCAAAAGGGGAAAGGAGATGTCGGCAGGGAGGGGGAATGCAGGACTCCGGCCAGAGGCGGGTGGTGAGGATGAGACACCCTGGTATCGGGGAGGAGATGCAGGAGTCCCTGTGGGGGACGGGTGTGGGGGGTAGTACAGGAGGAGCCCGTGGGGTGGTGGGGAGTGAGGCCCGGTGTGCGGCGCACCTGGGCTGCGGATGCATCTAAGCTTGTCTCAAGGTGTAGGAGACAGATCGGAGACCCCCGTGCAGGTTGGGGCATCTGCTCCATCACCCGAGGGCCTTGCCTCCGTGTTAGCAGATGGGGCTGGGGGGCGAGGGAATGGGGATACCCAGGTTTCCCTCCTCTTGCCAGATGCAGCCAGGCTGCACGACTGTGTGCTCACGCGCACGTGCGTGTGTACATGGTTACCTCCGGGCCGCCTCCTGCAATTTCACGGGCTGTCTGGCGCTGAGGTAAACCAGGCAGGCCCCCGCCACTCGATTCAGGTCGCCCTCGCCTGCGGAAACGGGAGAGATGAGAACGGCAGGTCACCCGCTGGCCGAGAGGATGCACTGGGGTGTTGGGCTCCCAGCCCTCGGGCACCCGAGCCCACAGCTCTGCTCACCCGGCCCCTCCAGGGCCTTGAGGCAGGGCAGAGCTGGGGCCACGCGGCGCGTTACCCACAGCTCTCTGGAGGTGCTTGGAAATGGAGGTGTCTGGAAGGGATGTGGTCGCAGCTGAGCAGAAGCACGGGTCGGAGAGGAGGGATGGGGCCACAGACCTCGGAGCCCACCCCGTCTTTCCCAGGTACTCACCCATGTCTAGCTTCTCGCACAGGGGCCCCAGGCCCTGCAGCACGGCCAGCTGCATCTTGAAGGCGAGCGTGTGGCTGTACACGGGCCCCGCTCTGGCGCTGACCGGGGCCTGGCTGCTGAGGGAACCGGCCAGCTTGGGCAGGACGTCTTTGGAGAACCGCTGCCTCAGGAAGTCACCACATTTCTCAGCCAGGGTACACAGCACCTGAGAGGAGCCCCAAGAGCCCGTGGTTATGGGGGTGGGGGGGGTTTCTGAAGGGGTTGCAGCTCCGCAGCAGCCCTGGGGATCCTTCCCTGGAGGCCAGCCTGTTGGAGCAGCGTCTGCAGCCTCTGCTCTACGCCCAGGGCACGGCAGCTGAGCTGGTGCATAAAGGGCGAGGCTGGGCGGTTGAGGTCCTGTCCTAGCCTTCCCGATACAAGTCACTAACCACTCCCTGCCCAGTTCCCTCCCTCTCAGTCGGGATAATAGCGTCGTAGCATGCCACGTGGCCTCGGACCCTGCAATGAGACCTACGAGGTGCTGAGAGACCCTCTGAGGGACGATGCTGCAGCAACACATCTCCACAGGGACCACGATCCACGTTTCAAGTACGCGGTGGGGACTGGGATCTGCTAAATACGGGCGGGGGGCATGGTGCTTTCCAGAGTGACTTACAGGATGGCACCATAACCTCTTCCCGCTCGTCCCTAGGGTGGGAATGGGAACCTGTGTGAGGCTTGGGCCTGAGTCTGCACGTAGCTGGACCATGTCCATGAGGGACCTGCTCCCCCTGGGATACCTGCCTGAGGCCAGCCCTGGGCAGGACATGTTTTGGGGCTGTCTAGCGTGGTGTTTTCTGAAAGGAGGGAGGAAAAACCCCTCAGCATGGTGTATAATCATGCCTTGGACTTCCCGAGCTGTTCACTGGGTTCTGCATGATGGTCAGTCTCTCCCTTTATCTCGGGGCCGTGCTGGGCATACGGGAAACTCAAGGGAGCAGGCTCTGGGGTTGAGGATATTCTGTCGTCTGTGCGAGCCGCCAAGAGGCGCTTGCTGCAGAAACACCTCCTGGTTCTGGGCTCAGGAGAAAGGTAGGCTGGAGGGTGGAGAGGCAACCTGGAGGATGTCCCCATGAAGACAGAGTATGTGCGTGTGTTTGCGCAGCTTCCTGGGAGCCAGGCACAGCTGCCAGGCAGCAGAGTGCTCTGCAGATCGGAGCCCGGGCCCAGGGTTTAATACAACTGTCAGCTTGAGGATTTGCTTCTGGTGCCCCTACAGCCCCATCTCCCTTACACTGCCATCACCAGGCAGCCCTGAGTGCACGCTCAACTCTTGGGCACTTCATAACGGTGCTAAGACCTGGTGGCTTGCATGGGGGGGCCACAGGGGCAAGGGCACTGGGTGCCTGTCCATCAGGCCCTCGGAGGGTAAAGGAACCTGGAACCTGCCTTCCTCCCCATGCCTGTGCAGCCAAAAGTACAGGCACTCAACAGATAACGTGGTTCCCTGCAAGGAGGGTGTCAGCATCTCATTCGTGAACAGCGTGCGCCCAGAAAATACCTGACCGTGTGCTGCAGGGGAGCACACCTTTGCTCCGCACGGCCTTTAAAATTCACTCTGTGCTTTCCCCCTCCCGAAGCCCTGCGGACGACAGGGCAGCTGCTTTGCTGCTGGCTGGCTCTGCTTCAGCTCGAAAGCTGCTGGCAAGAACTTGCTGCCGTACCTTGAAGGCTCTGAGCACCGCCAGGGGGTCGTCGTTAATCAGCCGGGTGACGAGAGCTGGCCAGGCGCGGTGAGCCATGGGAAGCAGATGGTTGTTGTGAGGATGCAGCACCGTCACGCCAAGCTCCAGCACGTCCAGGACCTGCATGAAGGGCAAGGCACAGATTGCTGATGCCCCGAGAGCCTGGGGCCCCCACAGCTACTGCAATGAGGATGGAGGAGGACAGGGCACAGAGACTTTTCTCCTCCCGACTTGGGATCGAGTGAGCAGGGCAGGGCGCACAGCCCTATCCCATGAGCACCGTGCAGGGAAACAGCCCGACTGATGCCAAATCAGCTGCAGGGAACAGACTGGCAAGAGTGTGAGATCTTGAGCCCTGATCCTGCACCTGGATCCATACAGCCAGACCTGCGTCCCCATGGGAGTTGTGTGCCTGGGGTGAGCTTGTGGGACAGGCATGTCCTGGTGACCCTGAGCAGCAGCACTCCTGGAGGAGGACGCCTCTGTCGGCCTTATGACAAAAACCCCTCGGTGCTGCCTGGGCAAAGGGAACCAGCTCCTGAGCAGTGCTGTGCAAAGGACACGTCCCCGGCCTCACCCTGGATGATGCGGTTGGCTCTGTCTGTTATGGGGTCCCATCTCCGGATAAAAAGCAATCTCAGAAACAAAGCTGCTCTTGGGGATGAATCCCCTCTTCTCCCAAATGTCAATGCTTTCCCTTTGCAGAAAGCCTGCTGATCCCGGAAGGGGGGGGGAATCCGTTTCATCCCTGCTCTGTGCAGAGGAACGCGGGAAGGTTCCCTTCGTGGGCAAACCCCGTGCCCTGATATGCCATCTGGCACGCATGGTGCTAACCTTCAGCCGCACCCGGAGGCTCTTGTCAGACAGCAGGTGGATGCACCGCTCCATCACGTCCTTGGCCACCTGGGCATGGGCTGGCAACGGAGCCTCTCCCTCTGCACTGGTGTCGTTGCCTTGGGGCTCCTCCGCAGGGGGTAGAAACACCTCTGGAAAACGGAGCACAGCGTGAAGCCATGGCATGGCCTGGAAGCCTCAGCACGCTTCTCAGGACATCTGGCTGACCGCCGCATCGCGGCTCTTCTCCAGAGGGCCAAGGGTGGCCTCTGGCATTTGTGAGTATGTGTGGGCTTGAGCCTGTGCCCCCCAGACCAGGCGTGTGATGCACTACCCCAATGGCAGCAGCCCATTTGGCTAGTTTCCGCTGGGCTTTCCCAGGCACAGGAGCAAGCACAACCTGGCACGTGTTCCCCACCACGCCGCTCAATGGAGCCGAGAGCACCAAGCTCAGGACCGCGAGCCCCTTGCCCTCCCCCGAGGTCAGCGGCGTTCCCATGCCCAGCACTGACCCTCCTCCTCCGTGTCTGGCAGGTCGCCCTCTGCAATCTGCTTCTGCTTGATGTAGTCCAGGAAGAACCGTTCCACGTCCTGCCCCGTGGTGGTGGCGGCGGCTGTGGGAATGGCCCCTGGAAGCTCTGTTGCACCAGGAGACGTCTGGGCTCCCTGTTGCTGCTCACTTTGCTTGGCCAACACGAACCACCGGGCTACAAGAGAGGCACAGGTGTGTCTCTGGGAATGGCAGGTGCCAGCACCATGGGGAGAAGAGCCTGCCCATTCTGCCTGTACGGAGATGACCTAGAGAGCATCCAACAAAGCTCTCTGCTGGGGGCGAGGCCCAGAAGCAGGCACTGACTAACAGGGCTGGTGTGTCCTTAGCCAGGGCTGGTCAGAGCCTCAGTCAAAGGACCTAGGCCTTCAGTGGAGCATTCGGGCATCCCCCGTCCCTTGTCCTCTTCCAAGAGGCGTTGGGTTTTGGGGGAAGAGCTGTCATTTTGTTGACAACTTGAGGGTCCCCCAAGCCCTCCACTGGGGCTGAAAAGAGTTTGGGGGAATCATGCAGATAGGAGAGAACCTTTTCCTAAGCCCATCCCTGATGGACAGCAAGCCAGGGACATGCCAGGGATGGTGTGGGCTACCACAGGTGCTGAGAAGCGTCTGCCCCAGCCTGGGGCACAGGGAAGACTGCTCTTGGCAGCCGCTGTCAGGAGGCTACAGTCCAGTATAGCTGTGACCTCAGACAGGCCAGGTGGGATGGGAGGGACGTCTGACAAGTGCAGGACCCTGCAGATAGGCAAGGAGGGAGAGCGCGCACGGAAACAGCCAGGCTAGAGGTCCATCTTCTCCAGTCTCCTGCCGCTAGTGGATGGCAAAACTCCAGCGGGCAGTTACCCATCTCCCCCTTCTCCCAGACCCCCTTTCCCATCCCCATCTGGTCCCTTGCTCATTCTGAAGTGCTGTAAATCTGGGGGGTTTAACCAAAACTTTCACTGGCAGAAATGGATGGTTTAGTGCTCTCTCTTTTTCTGCCTGAGCAACGTCTGGAGAAGTTTCCTATTTCCCCTCCCGACCCCTGAATAACTTTATTTCCCTCCTTGGCCCACCTCCACCCAGTGACAGCCCTCCACCCAGGGGCTGTTGCTGGGCTGCACCGGTCAGCAAGGGGCTGAAGAGAAACAATTGGAAAATACCTAACGCTGCCATTAATGAGTGCAGGACCCTGAGGAAGGAGGCAGCCCGGGAGTCGTAGGACTGATCAAGTGTGAACAGAACGTCTTGGATCACGTCCTCGACCAACGGGAGCAAGCTGGCGTCCGAGTGCCTGAGCATGGTCTCCAGGACCCGGGAAGCATGCGGCTGATGTGCCACGCGGCGCAGGCTGAGGGAGATCCCATTCACCAGGTAGTCCGTGTTCTCACTGATGAGCTGTTGCACGGAGCCGTAGCCACAGGCCTGACAGATGTCCACCATGGTCCCCGTTGCTGTCTGGCTAATGAGCAGAGTGCTGTCCCCAGCCTTCTCGAGCACGGGGTAGAGGGCTGACATGAGCAGCACCCGAAACTCCTTCCCCAGGGCATGTGTGAAACAGCCGACCCCTTCCAGTTGGATGCAGATCTGCCAAATGTTGCCGTTCATAGAGCGGATGGTCGGGTTTGGCTCCGAAGTGGCAGCAGAGGACAGGATAAGAGTGCTGCTGTGTGCACTCTCTGGCAGGGCTCGTAGCCTGGACGGGGGCATTGCCAACTCGTCGCTAGGTTCCTCCTGCTCCTCCATGCTGGTGACCAAATGCCAGTTTGCCTGGCCTGTGTATTCTTCAAGGATGGACGTTATAGTCCCTTTGAGGTCGTCCACGCTGGGAGCGGCTTCCCTTTCGTGAAGGACATCCACCCCCAGTCCAGCAGCTCCTGTGATCAGCTCATTGAGGACCAGAGCAGCCTGCTTCCGAAATGCAACGGACTCGCTGTACAGCCCCGTGAAGTGATCCACCAGCAAATAGAGGTTCCCATAATAGCCAAGAACTCGGCACACCTGCTGGAGGAGCGGAAAGATCCGCTCGTCGGTGAAGAACCGGAAATACTTCTTCTGGGCTTGGCCCTTCTGCAAACCATGCTGCAAGGAGGCAGGGAGCTCGCCCTGGCGCCGTTCTTCCACGATCTTCACGTCGGTCACATCCAGCTCCAGAACCTGCATCAGCGCTTTGGAGAGGCGGTGGAGGTGGGCTGTGGAATTGAGGACGATGTTCATCTTGGAGCCTAGCAGCTTCAGGGAGCCAAGCAGTATGTTCAAGGTGGAGAGTTTACCCTGGTCATCCTGGGAAGTCATCAGCCGTGGAAGAGCCGTGGCCAGGGAATGCAGATTCTCGGAGAGAACGTCAGCCAGAGCCCTGTTCTCCGTGATCACCTTCCGCTCCGCGATGCTCCGCAGGACCTCGCTGCTCCTGCTTTGGACCTTGGGGCTGTCATCATTAACGAGCCCCACCAAGGCTTTCAAAAGTTGCCCGACTGATGCCACCAGTGACTGACTGCTCTTCAGCATAAGGTGATGGGCCAACTCCACCAACTCCAGCCTCACCTTCCAGTGCTGGTGAACGGAAGAAGACTCAACTATCTTGTGGATAAGCAGGGAGAGCTTATCAGCAGTACTTTGTACCCAGTCGGGTCCTCTATGGACCATGAGGTCTGCTATTCTGCTTTGCTCCACTCCCGGCTTCTCTTTTTTCTCTGGAATTTTCCTGAGCTGCTCATCAGCCATGATGAAGCCCACGGTCTGATAAAACAGCTTGATGGCAGAAACCGCGATCATATGACTTTGTTTGATGTCTCCAGTGATCACTCGGGACAGCGTGATGGAGATCCCGGGTAGAAAAGAAGCAAACAAATCCCCACACCGCTGCGCTTCCTCCTTGTCTAAGAGTCTGTGATATTCCTGGCAGTCGCACTGCAGAAGAAGGGCTTGGAGGCACTTCAAAGCCGAGGTCCTAATTTCCTTTGCCTTCTCCTGTTCTGCCAAGGCCAGAAGCAAAGACACAGCAAATCCTAAGTGAGGAAGAGTGGAAGGCTGGTACAGAGACAGAAGGATGTCCCCGTAAGCCGAATGCATCAGCGCTTGGAGTGCTTGGATCACAGCCAGTTTTATTTCCTCCGACTGGGCGGGCGGTCGCTTCAAGCCAGAAGGGGAAGAGAGGCACGTGCAGAGCTCGGAGAAGAGCTCGTGCAGGAGGTCCGGCTTCTTCACGCATGTCTCAGAAAGGATGGACCTGATGCACTCCACCACGCTCTGGACAAGCCGCTCCCGTTTGGGCCCTGGGGTCTTCAGGGTGAACCTCAAAGGGAAAAGGACGTACTCCTGCAGTTGCTGGAGGGCCGCGGCACTAACCTTCTGCAGCTGGGCTTGCAAGCGCTCCACGTTCTCAACAGTCTGCACCTTCGTGAGCTGCACGCAGACCGGCCGCAAGACCCCAAAGGCCTCCTGCGGGGTATCGAAGACTGCCATTGCCTGGCAGCGACTCCTCCTATGCGTCTCTAGGGATCATCCTACAAAAGGGAGAGAAGCAACACCCTTTTCAGTGAAAGCAGCACGACAGCGAAGGCAATCTGCCTTTTGCACATCACAAATCAAGTGGAATTGCAACTGGCTGGAACTGTGACAGCAGGCGCCGGAAGGAGAAAGTTAACATAACTCCCTGCCCTGCAGCCAAGGCAAATACCGTGCAGATCATTACATTGCATTTCTGCTGCATAAGCGCTCTGAGATCTCGAGTTGAAAAGCATTAGGTAAGAGGCGGGTATTCTGTTTTTAAGAGCTTGGCATTATCACAATTATTCAGATTCTAAAAAGCAGATAATCAAGCTCAATCCTGCTCATTTCCCAGTCACCCTCACGTGTAAATAGCTACAATGCAATGTACTTCAGTGAAAGTGGCTTAGACTGGTCGCTTCTGACTGTACGAAAAACAAGCCACTGAGTAGGGTTAGCGCTTAATAGAGGCGCTGTAGATTCCCAGGGGCCAGGGCCAGGCTTTCCGGTTAGGCAGAGAATGTCTTCCGGTTTAAAGTGATTTCTCTTGGGGTTTCTCTGCTCCTCCAGGATTTGACTCCCATCTCCGCTGGTTGCAAACCCGAGCATTCATAAACAAGCCTGCAACTCCGGTGTAGCCACACGGGCCTCAAACCATCACGTTGGGGGGGGTGGGGGGGACGCGGGGGTACTTCGACCGAAAAAACAGCACCCACTTCTCCCCGGCCCGTGTGCAGGACCACGGGGGGGCTGGGGCTTGTGCTGCACGACCAGCACCCCTGGACCCCAGAGCCCCTGTGGTCACTGGTGAATAAAGGCAGTGTCCGAGGCAGTATCGGGGACCCCCCGGCCTGCTGCTTCTGCACCCACGGCCTCTCGGGGACTGGGCTGGCAAGGCAGGGGCACCCAGGAAGCACCCAGCACAATGGGCAGGGCATGATCACCCCCCCCCCTCCGGGGTCAGGGGGGCTGGTGCTAGGGGCTCTGACCCCCCCATGCAACCCAGGAGCTCAGGTCATGCCCCCCCACATGGTGCTGGGGGAGCCCTGCCCCCATTATGGAGCAGGGGCAACCTCTGTTCCCTAGCAAAGAGCAGAACCCCCCGCCCATATCAGGGGCAGGACCCCCCATATCAGGGAGACACAGGTTCCCCCTGAGCCTCCAGCTCCTACCTGCACCACTATGGGGGTCAGCCACATGCCGGAAGTGCTGCCCAGCCCGGCGTGAAAAAAGTTCCCTAAGCGGCACAGGTAGGAGGGAAGCGCCAGAAAGATCTCAGGCGAGCGCGTACTGCGCATGTCCAACTGTCCGAGACAAAGGTTAGCGCGCATGCGCCCTTCGCTTGGCGCGCGCTGAAGGTTAGAAAAAGGCCTGGCTGCGCATGCGCCCCGCTCGGGCGGCAACGGCCGGGCCCCGAAGCGGACGTAGCCGGGGGGGGTCTTGTCCCTTTTGGCGCCCCGTAGCATGGTGCCCTTTGACCCGCCGCGGCGGGGTGACAGGTCGGGCGGCCATCTTGTGGCTGCGGCGGCGGCGGCGGGTTGTTGTTGCTGCTGAGGGCCGGTCCCCGCGGGCGGCCCCGCCGGCGCCATGTCCTCGTTCTCCGAGTCGGCGCTGGAGAAGAAGCTGTCGGAGCTCAGCAACTCACAGCAGAGCGTGCAGACGCTGTCGCTGTGGCTCATCCACCACCGCAAGCACGCGGGCCCCATCGTCTCCGTGTGGCACCGGGAGCTCCGCAAGGGTAGGCCCCGCGGCGGGGCGGGGGTGTGGAGCGGGGCTGGCCTCAGTGGTGGCAGAAGGAGCAATGGGCTCAAGCTGCGGAGTGAGGGTCGCTTAAACTTTATTTTAGCCTGGTTGTCCTAAGAGCAATACCCCCCCCACCCCTTCGTGTGACCCCTGAGGAGCCTCGCGGCCTTCCTTCCCCGGGCCGCTCCGCAGAGAAACGCTTCATTTCGGGCTCAGGAAGCGCACGGCTCGTGTGCGTCCAGCTTGCTCCGCGCCAGGTGACCCAAACGTGTTGCTGGTTAAGTGAAGATCAGGGAAGAATAGGAGCCGCTCGGCGTAATCGTGGTAAAACAGACCCCCGGGGCGTGTGTTAGCACGGGCGTGCGAGGGACACGCCTGCAAGGCTTGGGGTCGCGCTGCTTTTCCAGGTCGTCCCTGGCGTGCGAGGCCTGGGGCCACGGATAGAGCGAAAACAGCAGCACGGGCTGTAGAAAAAATATACGTGTATTATATATGTGTGTGTGTGTGTGTGTGTGTGTGTGTATATATATATATATAGAGAGAGAGAGGTCTTAAATATATATATGTGATCGTACTCACCTCTTTCACACTCTTCATGCTGGGGACACTAGTGCGCTCCGGTGCCTCGACCTGGGAGCGCGCCGACGAGAGCGGGCGCTTCACCGCTGTTGCTCGCGGCCCCCGAAACCGAGCGAACGCTCGTTGTTTTCGCTCCGACGCTCGCTGCCCGGCCAGCCCGCGCGTGCGGCGCTGCACGTGTTCCTGTTTGGAATCGCTAGGGACGCTTGTAAAAGAGTAACGCTCAAAATCTGCAGAAGTGTAATCGTTTTGCACGCTGCATTCAGCTGCAGGGAAAGCAGATGTTGGAGTTTTCTAACCCAGCGTTACCTAAGGCATCGGTTGTTATCGTAAATAGCAAGGTTGTGTTTCTGAAGAAACCCAGGCGGACTTGCCAGGGGAGCTGTAGCTGAATTTCCTGACTGTTTTGCAAGCGAAGATGTAGCCATTACTTTGCAATAATATAGTTTTAAACCTATTCTAAAAACGATCCTCCTGGAGGTTCTTCTGCCCGGGGCAGCGTGAGGTCGACTGGCATTGACTTATGGTGCGGGATGGAAACACTCAATGTAGACCGTTAAAAAAACTTGTTGCTAATTGGCTGTATCTGTTGAGTATTGGGGGTGGGGGGCAGTTCTTTTAAATAAAAGATCCCAGTTTCAAGCTATTCCATCCCAGGATAGATGTTAAATTACACAGATTTGTGCAAAACTAAAAACCACTATTTCAACAAACTTGGTTAACACACAATGTCTGTTGTTACGTTGTTTTGCATTAAGTTGCATTATCTCATTTCCATTTTAATCTATATGTGTGTTTTCGAGACTTAATGTGCGTGCAGTAGGCTGAGATCTGGAGATGAAAGATGCCTTAGCAGATAGCAATATTATCAGGACTGTTTGCTTGGGTATTTTTATACATTACAGAACAGCTCTAGCTGAACAACTATGTGACTCAAAGCATTAGCTACTTTAACAACTCTGGCAAGATTGAAATGGGGAAAATGTCTTGCCACTTAGTCTAGAAGTGTGGACAATTTTGGGAACCGTACAGTTGCCTTTGGGTAAAATAATAAAACACAAAATGAAAAATAAATACAAGTAAATTTTATCTTCTGTCCTTTCCCAGCAAAATCAAGTAGGAAGCTTACGTTCCTATATTTAGCAAATGATGTCATCCAGAACAGTAAGAGGAAGGGTCCCGAATTCACTAGGGAATTTGAATCAGTTCTGGTGGACGCTTTTTCTCATGTTGCCAGGTATGTTGGTTGATCGTTAATTCGTTCCTCTTCCTTTTCCCCATTCCCCTCCCTCCCAGCCCATCTTTTCCACAAGTTTTGAATTCAAGTGCTTTTCAGTTGTAGGGGGGGTGCTTGTGCCTGGAACACAGTTAGCCTGTCTTTAGTAGGCACTCAACTCTGACTCTTTGCCTGTATAGAAACTATTAATTATGCTTGCTCTTGGGAATCATGAGACACATTGTGGGAGGCTGGTTCAATTCTATAATGTAATTGTGTAGCGACAACTTTTCTGTGCAGTCAGTTCCTTTGTACTTTAAATATTTTGCAGTTATCATCCAGAAATCTCACAGCTCTGTTTAGAGAGGGAAATTATCCCATTTTTAAAGGTGGCGAAATCGAGTGGTTAAGTGACTTGTCCAAAGCAGATAAGCCTCTAGGAGAGTGAGTCGCTAATTATGTGATTCTACCCCTCAGTGGAAGAGCTGGAAACAGACCTCTGTTTTCCTTACTATTATATCTCTAGTCAATTTGCTGGACTCAAATTTTTCCAGCAGGAGTCTCAAAATTGTTCATGTTCATCACTGTATTAATACGAACACATTTAGCTCCCGTTACAGCTTTCTGTTTCTGTGCTGTGGTAATGTTTGGTTTTCAGACAAAATGTGGTTTAAAAACTCTTCATATTTAAGCTAATAAATCTAAGCAAATTCCAGGACTGGCTAATTTCGGGAGTTTATATATAGGAATGAAATGTTGCTGTCTTGGTTATTCCCAACAGAAATTTGTATGTAAACTTTTTTTTTTTTTTTTTTAACATTACTTGGCCAGTGGGTTAGCAGCAGTTCTTGCATGTGTTGTGCTTGCTTTTGTTTGAACTTTATTTTTTTTAAATGTGTTTGTAGGTGAGAGAAGATTCTGGAGTCAAATTATCTTTAGGCTTTGCTAGCTTTATAACAATTGTCATGTGATGGGTCGCTGGGGGAAAGGGCAGCTTTGTATGTGGGGAGGTGTAGGGGTAGGAAGAGGTGAAATGAAAACATTAGCTGTCACAGGATGGAGCACCAGCTACTTAAGACCTGTTATGATACTATTTGGAGAAGAGCTTAGTCTCTGAACCAAGCAGTTTATGGTGCCCAAGGGAATTAAAGTGAATATAGTGACAGTGTGTTTTGGATAACGAAGTAACTTTTACTACTATCTCTTTTATATTACTAGGAAGTCTTGATCGTTTAGGTGACACTTAATAAGTAAATTCTCATTTGAATGCCTAAGGACCATAATAATTTCCTTTTTAACTAAGATGTCATTGATTGAATTGCGAAAAGTGAGCATTATAAGCTGCTAAAAAATCTGTGGGTTTTCATAGCTGCTTCTACAACACCAAAAAGATACTGGGGTTTTCCCCTTCAGAGGCCCCTGTTTAATCTGGGAAAACAGAGTAGAGTACTCTTACATAATGTGATTTCCACCTTAAGGGAATCTCTTTATGTTGTATAGATTACACCAAACAGGACAAGAAAATCTGTCCCTAAGCTCACATATCCTGTGATGAGTGCAACTTCTAATTTGCAAGATGGCTTTCTAAAATGTGCTTGTGCTTTTTATCCAGGTTTTAACTATTCTTTAATTTTTGAACAGAGAGGCAGATGAGGGCTGCAAAAAGCCCTTAGAACGATTGCTTAACATCTGGCAAGAAAGGAGTGTGTATGGCGGTGAGTTCATACAGCAGCTGAAACTTTCTATGGAGGACTCGAATAGCCCTCAACCCAAAGGTAAAAGCATAATTCTTTTTTTTTTTTTTTAAGTGACAGAGAAGCCTAATTTAAAAGGTTAACTACTTGCCATTTCCTGTTGCAACTCTTGATATGCAAGCCAGCTAAGACATTGTGAGCTTTGAGAATTAGTGCAATAGTTGGGCCTGGTGTTGGAGTCACCAAGATGGCTTTAAGCGTCTCAATCCATAGCGATGACCAATTTAGTTTAGCTTAGACACTCATGACTCTGTTAGGGGCTTACATCCAGTCATTTCTGGCTCTTCAGTGCGAATGGACACACTCTGGATCTGTCTGTGTTGGTGTTAAGGAACCATTTTTGTTATGGTATTACCAGCTGCAGGATGAAGTTGGCATCTTTGTGCTCCCTGAAGAGGGGGGCAGTTGCAGTTATGATCCAGCCTTGCAGATAATGTGATAACCTGTAGAGCTCTAAAGTGCTCTGATAGTTAACAGATGTGTACCTGATGAGGTGGTTTATCTACCATGGTTTGAGCTTTAGCATTTGGATTTGTTTCATTGTGCATCATCATTACAATTCACCAGGATTTAACAATGGCTTTTGGCAGACAGAAATGGTACGGTAACAAACCATGTGGCAAAGAGATGCGGGGCATTGAGTCTATTGTTCTTTTCCGTCCCACTGCTGTGGTGGACCCTGGAGTCTCAACTTCTCTTTCATATCAGAAGAAAAGCTTTTCCAGAACTGGATAATTGCTGTCTAGTCAATTTTGAAGGAAGGAGGTTGGACACAAATGGTTTCCAGTGAAGAAAAGCTTTCAGCCCACTGTGCAGCAGAGGTTGCATTTGAGAGACTCCCTTGAGCCATGGTAGTTTCTTAGAAGAGAGAACACACAGCATCTTCTTTGATCGAGTTTTATCCAGTTACCTTGTCAGGGACCATATTTACTATAGGAAGTTCGGCTCAATCCTGGGTGCAATGCACTTCTTCCTTCCTAATCCAGTGAAAACCAGTCTAGTATGTCTTGGGTCCCTTGTCACAGAGACGTGCAAAACTGACTGGGAGACAATTTAAGAAATCGTCTCTTGGACACATCTGTGCCTGCTGTAATCCCTTTCTTCTAACGTGCTCTCTTTAGACAGAATCAGTAAGAAGGTGATAATGAGCTAGCTTCAACAGCATATGCGATTGTCCTTCTTAACATAAGCTCTGTGTAAGATTCAGAAAGTAGTATTAAGAGTGTGTTGTCAGATTTCCATTAAACCCTTTTTCTGTTTCTCTCCCAGCTCGGCGTGCCCCTGGCAATGGGCTTTTTTAATGTGCTACAGTTCTATAAATGACTTTCCTGAGGCAAAACCACTTTCCCAGCAGCAGAGCCTTCCCAATTAAGGTCAGCAGGGACAGCCAAGCTGAATCCCTCTCATTAGGAAAGAGGCCTCAGCCAGAGTTCTCTGAGACTGGTACTTGATCCAAAATAGCCCAAAGGGTGGTGTCCTGGACACATTGCAAAAGATACCTGTTAGGGTAGGTTTCTTAAAATGGTGAAGGGTTACAAAGGAGTTGGCTGGCTAGGCTCCTGTTCAAATGAGCCAGTGCTGCTGTGGTATACGTTTTATGGCTAACCACTTGTTACCTGCTTACAACCCTGGATGGACATCACTGTTGTTTTAAATCCAGCTAAAATGGCATTGCATTTTTTCTAAAGCCTTGACATCTAAAAGCCAGCATGTCTGATATTTTGCCACACTAAATGTAGTATTGTTGTGTGCTGAACTTAAAATAGTATTCATATTTACTTGATCTTCCTAACTGTAACAGGACTTTGTAGATATTAATGGAATAATATTTTAAGAGCTCCATCGTATATATCCAAAATTCTGGAAGCCGAGTTTTCATCCAAGTAATTGAAAGAAGCTGCAGTGTTTTACTTAGAAAAGCATGGTTCAGAGTTTCTCAGAAGTGTAAAAATTGTTACTTTTTTTTTCTTTGTCAAGTTGTGCAGTTTTTATTTGAAGCTCGGGAGATAGTTCTAGAACATGGAGATTTTCTGTTTCTGGTTTTGCCGGTTCATTTTCTACTCGGGTTAGTAGCAACTGACACCAGCTTTAATGTGGCAGAATTTCTGTAGCCGTGCGATTATAAATTGGCTTGCCTCCAACTCTTATTGGGCACTTATCTACATCACAAATGCCTTCATGAAAATTGGCAGCCAGGTCAAAGATTGAATGGATCATAAAGGAATATAGCAAACCTCTTGCTTGGTTTATTTTTGAGGCTTTTCAAGGACAAGATTGATTGTGGCTATAGAAACTGTACGTGTAATATTAGCATTCCTAAAAATCTGTGACGTTAACAATTTCTGGGTTTATAAACTACCATGGATGTAATAGGTTGGACATTTATAGTGTAAGTATATTCAATGTGGTAAAAGGTGGCTTCATTAAAGGAAAGTTTCTGGAACTCCTGGGACCATTTGGTGCTGTGATGATAATATTTTTCGTTCTTAGCCAGTGCAGTAAGTCAGTGAAAAGAATTCTGTGACTATTTAATGCAATGCTGTGAAAAGCCAGTCACGGTTGGAGCCTGGTTGGATGGAGGCTGTTAGCCAAACAGGATGGTTCTGAACAAATTCCAGAGCGCTTACGAAGTTGTGAGACTTTACCCGATGTGGTGACACACGAGGAAAAGGAAAAACCTCCTCCATGTTCAGCACACTGACTTGTTGAAAAATTAGTTTCCATTGTGCACTGATGCTTAACTGATGTGACTCCCTCTTCTTCCCTTCAGACTTCCTTGTGAAAGAATAGGAATTAATTTCTAATAAACTTAAATCATGTTGGATACATATCATTGTACAAAGTATAATGTATGAGTTAAGGAGACTAATGCATGAGGAGAGGAGGGTTCTGAAGTCCTCTCTCTCCCAAGCAGATTTATTTAATAGGTTTCATCTCCTATGAGTTAGGGGCAACTTTTTATTTGGGAGACCTTTTAAGTTTTCTTGGGGAAACTTGAAGAATATATTTTTCTTTATCTACAAACAAATGTATTTGGACATCTATGTTTAATTTGTATTGTTCTTGTATTATACCACGAGGCATCTAATACATCAATCAACTTGAATGATGTATCAGTTCCCACAAACTTTTCCCACTGATGAAGGGGCTTAAAACCCATCGTTGAAGTGGATGGTGCATGGCCAGGGCCAATAGATTTTGACTATAGCAGTTTGAAATTTGGCACTCTGCATTTAAGGAGTTTGTATTAAATGTGCTCAGCACAATGCAGAAGTGATTCTTCTCTAACTGAGCCATGGTTAAAACTCCCAATCTCTATCGGTCTGCATGCGCTCTGAACGTGCAAGCCTGGCTCCTCTTAGCAAGCATTGCTCACTGGGGCTGTGCATGGGCACTATGTTCCTCTGTCCTCGACAGCACGTGGGAGGGACAGAGCACCTGTAACTGCAGCTCTGTTCCTTCTCTTTCGTTGGTAAGTTGGCATCCCTGGTGGTTTCTTGCTTGTGGATTATGGTTTGATTGGCTGTGGTCTTATGTTTTCATTTAAACCTAATGGCTTTTA